TGCAAAAGACCAAGAAAACAAAGAAAACCACAAACACAAGAGAGCGCAAATAACTATGGCTGCCATCGTGTGCGCCATCTTAGATCCTAATCCTGCAAAAGTAATAGCATTTGTGAGCACTTTAGTGTAATTTTGAAGGAAATAATGGGCGTGATGATTATTTTGGCTGCCTATAGTTAGTATATGTGAAGATAAATTAAATTTATTATTATAAAAATCCCCCTTTGTCACAATAAACAGTTTTCACATCTACAGTGGCCATAAAATCTAATTGAATGCTATTTGCTTTAATTTTAGAATTAATTACCTTAGGCTTACCTAGTTTTGTGCCACAAACTTTAAGTGCACATAATAAACACAAATTAAATAAAAGACTTTTTGAAATCTTCAGTATGGTTCCTCCTATATTTTTCCTGTCCTGCTGTTTTTAACAGGTATAAAACTTCCTGAAAAGAAAACAAAGCCAATGATTTAATGTGTTTAATTTTAGTGTTGAGTTTATAAGTGTTTGTTTTTTATTTACAAAGGTTAATTCCTTCATTAAATTTTGTAATTTAAACCTGAATAAATATTAATTCATTGTGTATTTATTATGTGTAGGTTTTGCATATATGGTGGTATCTACTGTTGCTTGTATACAAACAAGTTGTATTTTCACTTTCAGCTGACTAAGTTTGACAAAATATGTAGAAATTGAATGCAACAAAAATAGTGATTAAAGTACAGTAATAACAGATTAATCCTTTTTAGGAATTCTGTGAATTTCCAGTTTAAATCAAGTTGTTTTGTTGGAAATTATGGGAATCTACATTGACCCTTAAACAAAGCAGTATCATTTTTTGCATATTTTTCCTATACTCACCTTCACAGGACTGTGGTGCTGATTGTGCCAAATTCCAGAAGAGTGAATTAGAGTACAAATTTAACAAGCGAGCCTTGGAGCGCCCTTACACTTCGAAACACTCCTGGGGTAAAACATATGGTGAACACAAGCGCCATCTAGAGTTCAGCCATGACCAGTACAGGGAACTGCAGAAATATGCTGAGGAGGTGGGGATCTTCTTCACTGCCTCAGGAATGGATGAGGTAAGAAACTTCTGATGAAGTTTTCATGGTATTTAAATAAGCAGAAGAGCTTCACCTTACATTTTTCTGTCCTAAGATGGCGGTGGACTTTCTCCATGAGCTCAATGTACCTTTTTTCAAAGTTGGCTCTGGAGACACCAACAACTTCCCCTATCTGGAGAAGACTGCCAAGAAAGGTGAGACTGAATAGTCAGATTAATTATCACTCATATGTTCTAATTCAACTTGTCAAGTTTGATATGGGACTGCAGGTAGATGAAGGCAAATGTAATGCAAAGTGATATTAATCTTGAATGTGCTGCTTTCCCTTTATGAGCTTGACTCAGTTCAAACAAGCCAATGTCTGGTGTGTGTGCTTCAGTCTGCTCTGCCACTGTCATTACTGTTTGGACTCTGAGGGAGTGAAGGTGGTACCATAACATTTTACCTTGCGTTGTGAATTATCACATTGTTGCCCTGTGGTCCTCGTCAGGGCGTCCCATGGTGGTGTCTAGTGGGATGCAGTCCATGGAGACGATGCGTCGGGTCTACAAGACAGTGAAGGAACATAACCAGAACTTTGCCATCCTGCAGTGCACCAGTGCCTATCCTCTGGAACCTGAAGACGTCAACCTCAGAGTAATCACGGTAAATAGAATTTTTTTTTTAAACATATTTTTCTTATATTAAAAAAGTTGGCATGAAAACAACAGATTTTTAAAAAGAGATTCTTTAAAAAAATCTGGGTTGTAAAATTATGCTATTAACATAAAGACACTACGTTTAAAAAAAAAACGAACAGGCGAATGTGTGCATGTTGTTTCAGGTACATATGCTTCAGGTATATGGTGTTTTTTGTTGAAGTGTAATACCAAGAAAACTAATATCTAACTATGCAGACTGTGCATTACATTTTAAAAACCTTTGAATTAAAATGAATAATCTAGTAATACCGTTCATATATACAGTATGTTATGAATTTGAATCTATCCCACTAACATCAATCTTTTCCCATTTCACTGAGATCTACTGTCAGTTTTTACAGGCTGTAGAATTACTACAAACATTAAAGTTTTATTAACCTCTAGAGTCCCTGCGTCCTCATATGAGGACCGCACAGCTTGGGTTTCCAAAGCTCAGGACTCTAGAGGTTAATGTTCAACTTAAACAAAGCAGTATCATTTTTTGCATATTTTTCCTATACTCACCTTCACAGGACTGTGGTGCTGATTGTGCCAAATTCCAGAAGAGTGAATTAGAGTACAAATTTAACAAGCGAGCCTTGGAGCGCCCTTACACTTCGAAACACTCCTGGGGTAAAACATATGGTGAACACAAGCACCATCTAGAGTTCAGCCATGACCAGTACAGGGAACTGCAGAAATATGCTGAGGAGGTGGGGATCTTCTTCACTGCCTCAGGAATGGATGAGGTAAGAAACTTCTGATGAAGTTTTCATGGTATTTAAATAAGCAGAAGAGCTTCACCTTACATTTTTCTGTCCTAAGATGGCGGTGGACTTTCTCCATGAGCTCAATGTACCTTTTTTCAAAGTTGGCTCTGGAGACACCAACAACTTCCCCTATCTGGAGAAGACTGCCAAGAAAGGTGAGACTGAATAGTCAGATTAATTATCACTCATATGTTCTAATTCAACTTGTCAAGTTTGATATGGGACTGCAGGTAGATGAAGGCAAATGTAATGCAAAGTGATATTAATCTTGAATGTGCTGCTTTCCCTTTATGAGCTTGACTCAGTTCAAACAAGCCAATGTCTGGTGTGTGTGCTTCAGTCTGCTCTGCCACTGTCATTACTGTTTGGACTCTGAGGGAGTGAAGGTGGTACCATAACATTTTACCTTGCGTTGTGAATTATCACATTGTTGCCCTGTGGTCCTCGTCAGGGCGTCCCATGGTGGTGTCTAGTGGGATGCAGTCCATGGAGACGATGCGTCGGGTCTACAAGACAGTGAAGGAACATAACCAGAACTTTGCCATCCTGCAGTGCACCAGTGCCTATCCTCTGGAACCTGAAGACGTCAACCTCAGAGTAATCACGGTAAATAGATTTTTTTTTAAACATATTTTTCTTATATTAAAAAAGTTGGCATGAAAACAACAGATTTTTAAAAAGAGATTCTTTAAAAAAATCTGGGTTGTAAAATTATGCTATTAACAGAAAGACACTACGTTTAAAAAAAAACGAACAGGCACAGAATGTGCATTACATATTAGTATTCTTTGTATTTAAGCTTCACTCACAATGATAAAGACTACAGTCAATGTTATGTTGGCAGAATGAAAATATGAAAATTATATTAACAGGAATACCAGAAGGAATTCCCAGATATTCCCATTGGCTATTCTGGCCACGAGTCTGGGATCAGCATTTCAGTGGCGGCCGTAGCTCTCGGGGCAAAGGTCATTGAGCGTCATGTAACTTTGGATAAAACGTGGAAAGGAAGTGACCACGCAGCATCTCTGGTGCCCTCTGAGCTCAGCGAGCTGGTTCGCTCCATTCGACTGGTGGAGCGGGCGCTGGGGAGCAGCATCAAGCAGATGTTACCTTGTGAAAAGCCATGCCATGATAAGGTTAGATATCGTCTTTGTTAGAGAAAACAGGCAACGACTGAGTTAAATACTGCAGAGCTTTAATTTAGTGAAGGGACATGTTCACTGTTTAAAAAAAATACACATTTCAACATAACTTGTGAATTGTCTTATAAAAAAAAAACCCTAGCATTTATTTAAACTCTGTTTTTCAAATTTCTTCTCCCTTTTCCTCCAGTTGGGAAAGTCAGTGGTGGCCAAGGTAAACATCCCCAAAGGGACCACCCTGACTCTGGATATGTTGACAGTGAAGGTGGCTGAGCCCATGGGCATTGTGGCCCAAGACCTCTCCAAGCTGGTTGGTAAGAAAGTGTTGGAGGATGTGGAAGAGGACGAGGGACTCATGCCAGAGGTAGTGGACAGCTATGGCAAGAAGGCCAAGTGCTGAGGATGGAAGAGAGGTTTGAAATCTGTGTATAAAGGCACTTTATTTCAGAGGAAATGATTGATATCTCTGGAACTAATTTGGAGAAGCTCAAGATGGTTCCTGCAGGAGAGTCGGTGGTGT